CAAATCTATATGAATAAAACTATGAAATGTCATTGAAGGATACAAAACAAGATCCACTTAAATTAAGAGATAGATATACACTGTACTGTGCTTATGTTTTGTGATGACTCAATATGCTCAAGTGTTCATAAATTCCAAAATAACCTAAAAATTCAATATTATGCTACAAAACCCCACTAGATTTTTGGTAAAGCATTGTAAAATGCATGTTGATAAACAAAAATAGTAAGTATAATTCAAAAAAAAGAAAGAAAGAAAAAAGGAGTGGTGGGTCTTGACTTGGTGGGTCTTAGGGCAGGCACTTTAAGAGGGGCTAGGGTCATCCTAGGGATACAGCCTCAAGCTGTTAGAGACTATGTTAGTGTTTGTTCAAGTCTTCATAGGCCAAGTCAAGAAGAAGGCGCAGAGGAGCCTGGCTAGAGTTTGGTCTAAATTTTATCTGCTGTTAATTGGATTAATTGCTTAGAGCTATTAAGAGATAATGTCTTTAGTGTAATGGTTTGGAGCAGGTACCCTGTAGCTAAACTGCCTGGATCAGAATCCCCTCTGCCATTTATTAACTGTATGACTTTGGGCAAATCATTTTAAGCTTTGGGTGATTTAACATATTCCTTGGTAAAACTGGGTTAACGATAGTTCACAGGTGTGTTACCAGGATTAAATGAGTAATCATCTGGAAAACAGGTGACAATGTGTCTGGGTATTTGCCAAAAAAAAAAAAGAAGTAAATAAAAATAACTGGGAAAGGCTATGTGCTACCTGCAAACCAGGCTGCACTGTCTTTCGTGGGCCCTATGCACTTTTGCCTTCGTGGGTCCCTTCCTCCATTAAAAATATAACACAAATAATAACCTTATTAAAATTATATGAAGATTAATATATTAATATTATATATCAGAACGTTTTCTGTCCACCTAAAAGTTCATTTTTTTCTTCAGATTTTACAAGAAATTAAAATATTTTCGTAAGCCTCTACAAGTACTGTGGGCCCTGGGCCCTGTGCCTATTGTGCCTGACGGATGTTGGCCCTGTGAGCTTCTGAAGACACAGTTTAAAAACATAGTTATTCAAGTAGGAAATAATGATTATCCATACACATACATATTCACACACACTTAATCCTCACACAAAGTGCCCGGTAAATGTGAGGACAATAAACAGGGGTGGTGCAAGCAAGGTGTCCTGGAGAATTAGTGATGAGGGGTCTTCAGCCACTGGGGATGACGGGAAGCGCCAGCTCAGATAAACAGTCGGGAGAGAAAGGCAAAGACCAATAGAGAGCTGTTGCTCTGCTTCTCGGTCTTCAAACTGCTCGGTTCTGTTTTTATCTGCGAAGGACGCAGTGGATTGTTCCGACTCTCGGGGTGAAGGGGTAGCTGCCTGAAGACAGACGCCGGGTCGGCAAGGTCTGCGCACCAGCAGGGGGCGGCCACGGGGAAACTTCCCGGGCACAAGCGACTGGCGGACGTAAGCGCACCCGCGGCCCCTTAGGGGAGCCGGAGTAGCGTAACGTGGCGTATGCGTAACGTGAGGCTCTGTGGCGAAAAGGGGGACGTAAGGCCCGGCGACACTGCCCAATGAGGGAGCCGGCGTGGAGGGGCGGGGAGGGGCGGGACGGCCCATTGGGAGAGCCGGCGTTGAGGGGCGTGGCTACAGGGGGTCGGCAGAGGCGGGGCGTGGAGGTTCCTGATAGACTTTCCACCCCTGCGTGGCTGCGCCGGCAAGAGAACGGCGTCTGCCAATTTTCAGGACTTCTCACCTTCCGCTTTAAACCTCAGTGTGATTTTTCGGTTTTGTGTGGCTAATTGGTAGAAGCATTTCAGAGAAATCCAATGTCCTATTTAAATCACAGTTCTCCAAGTGTGGTCCCCACCAGCAGCATCAGCACCTGTATAATTGAGAAATGCAAATTACTGGATCCTATTCCAGATATAGTGAATCAGAAACTTCTGGGTGGGTGAGGCCCAGCAATCTGTGTTTTTAAAACCGACTGAAGATTCAGAATTTTTCAGGTGATTTTGGTGCACACTTAAGTTTGAGAATGCTTCAAAGTATTGTGTTTCCCTTAATTCAGATGTTGAAAGTGACCTCTCAAATGTCAGCTTAACTAAACTAAGTTGTTTACCTTCAAGATCGTTACCAAAGCCGAAACAATGCTTAGGCCTTACCCACTCAGACCTTGATGCCAGAAAATAAAGTGAAAAATAAATAAATTGTATCTCTAGAAAGGGGAGATCTTAGGAGAAGGACTTGAATCAACAATGAGTGCAGAATTCCAATTATCCACAGATTTTATTAATCATAACATCTCATTTACAAATGTTTTGCCATCCTCTCATTTTGACTTCTCCCAGCAAAGGTAGTCCATGGTAAACAATGAATTCCCAGTAACTAGGCCTGTAACAGAAGTAAATTCTATTTTTATAATTCAAACAAAAAATAAAATGAAAAAGCTAAAACACCTTGTTTAGGCTCTCCCACTCAGGTAATGATCTCCTTTTGATGAACCAATGTGCAGCCAGCCAGGATGGGTTGGATTTGGATGGGATATACACACTAATCAATCATTCTCAGGCAGATCAGACTTCATACTTCATAACTTCTATGGGTAGATTCACATTTTCAGTTATTGTTTGCATTCATTTCTTCTCTGCACTTATATCTCTCCCTGATTGAAGAAATAAAAAGGGTTTATTTGTTAGGTGCCATTTTGCCATAATGCCATATAGCATTAATATTTGCTATACAAAGAGGGTTCTGTTTACACGTGCTTGTATAATGTGCAGTGAGGACTCTCTGCTCCAGAATTACCTACACCTTAGTCATTATTAGCCTTAACAGATAATGCGTCAAATCATGCTTAGTCAAGAAATATTCCTGAATAATATGATCTTTGATCCAAATTCCCCAGCTACCTTTCTTGAGGTGGGATTCAAATAGTTCAAAAGCTTATATTCTTTCCCTTTAGTTGTTGACCAGAAGAGAATTAGCCACTTTGATTTTCATTTTAATTCAGTGACTAAGGGAAATATAATAATTGCTAACAATTGCCAAGTGCTTACTAAATGTCCATATGTGTTTTAAGAGCTTTACGTGAATTATCTCACTTAATCCTTAAAATAACTCTAAGAAGTATTGTACTGTTATTACTCTTGTTACATAGATTTGGAAAGTGAGACCCAGAAAGACTGAGTCACTCATTCAGTTGAACCTTTTTGACAACTCAGCTCTGGCCTCTATTCCTGTCGTTATAGATTTATGTGTACCTCAACTAATTAATTATATCATACCACAAATACTTGTTGAGAGCCTACTGTGTGTCTGGAACAGCCTTAGGCATTAGGGAGTCAGCAAAAAAGACTAACCCTGTCCCAGTGGAGCTTATAGTCTTGAGAATGGGGAGAGAAAACAAACAATAAGCAAATAAATTTATATCCGTTAGGGCTAACTGATGAATAAAGCAAGTTAAAAATGAATATAGAAGGGTGCCATTTTACATCTGCTGGTCAAAGTCTCCCAAATATAGTGACATTTTAATCAATTCGCTCAACCCCAAACCCAAGAAATGTGGGGAGTATTGCAGATATGTAACTGGTATTATACCCAGCTGAAATATCAAATGTACGACAAAGTCTATCTACTCATCTCCCTCTTTTTTTCTTTCTGCCTTTCTCCTACTACAGTCTGCTGTAGGCTTCTCTTTGGTCTCTACCTTCTTTCTCTCCCTTTTGTAGTAGCAGTCTGCTTCTTCCATTCCTTTTCTGAGTCCTTCTCAATTTTGCTCACGTTTGTTCTTGTTCTCCTCATGCTCCTCCTCCTCCTTTCCTAAAAAATAGCCATAATTTGGCTGTGATATTTACATTGTTTTGTATTTATGAAATACAGCTTAACACTCACTGTTAAAGTTTTAAACAAAATTCTAAAGCGTAATTCTTTTACTTTTCTACAAGTCCTGTTCCCTGTCCGTGGTAGCAAATCTCATAGTTTATGAAAGGAAAAGCCACTCAACTGCCGCTGTGCATGTAAAGAAAAGGAACATTTTTTTTTTCTATTTAGCACTGAATGCCCATGCTACCACAATGAATTTCAAGAACTCTGAACTTGCTCCCAAAATGATCTCTACATCTCCTAAATCTTCTTTTCCTGCAGCCAGGGTTTGGAGGGCAGTTGGGAGCATAAATCAAGGAGGAGGCTGCTGAAGTTGTTCATTTGATTCAAGCATAAAAAAGTCTTCAATAAGAAATCTCTTTATAATTTCTGGGTCCACAGTCAATCTAAATGTCCAAAACTATGTGGCAGAACAATCATAAAAAGCAAATAATTCTAGAACTCAAGCTATGGTCAATGATAGATATCTAATTCAAAATTGTAAAAATATAGTTTTTGTAATGACTATATGTGTGGTATAGGGTTAACCCCATGCAAAGAGAGGCGTGGCCTTTTCCCTTTGCTGGGAGGTGATCTCTAGGCTCTTGGAATGTCCTGCATGATAAGAATATCTTTGTTTACCAGGAGGTCTTGGGCTACACTGGATAGTCTAATACCATCATTTCTGCTGGGGGCTTTGAGCCACATGGTATCTGCACTACATCCAGAAGGACTGAACACTAAAGATCAGCCACTCAGGCAGTCAGTCATGTCTATATGATAAAGCTCCAGTAAAAGCCTGGACACCAAGACTTGGTTGAGTCTCTCTAGTTGGCAATATGTATTGTGTTGTCACACATTGTTGCAGGGAGGCATTAACACTCTCCATGACTCCCCTGGGAAAGGACTACTAGAAGCTCCAGTTTGGAACCCTCCTAGGCTCTGCTCCATGTGTGTCTTCCCTTGGCTGATTTTCATTTATATCCTTTCGGTGTAATTAACCCTAACGTTGACTATAGTAGCTTTTAGTGAGCTCTGTGAGTCCTTCTAGTGAATTATCAAATCTGAGGGTGGTTTTGGAGACCCCTGCACTCTGCAGTTGGTATCAGATGTGAGGTCAGTCTCACGGACTGTTCCTTAATTTCGCACTGTGTCACAATGGTATTAATGTTACTATATTTTGTTTATTACCCAAAAATCGGGATGAATATTTTTGCCTTAATTTAATGAATTTGGTAGTTCTCATATGAGCCAAGTCTGTTCACCTGCCTGCAGATTTCCAAAGAGTGATAAACACTTTTTAGGCCTACTGAAAGATAAAGAAAAAGGAATGCAATTAGCTGTAAGCTTCCTTGACAGTCTACAAAACTGAGGGCTCCAGAGGTCAAGGTCAACCTTATCTCTCTTTGTATCTCCAGTGCCCATACCAGTGACTGGTCCAGAGTCATTCAATGACTATCCCTTTTTTGTGTGAGGAAGATTGGCCCTGAGTTAACACCTGCCAATCCTCCTCTTTTTGCTGAGGAAGATTGGCCCTGAGCTAACATCCGTGCCCATCTTCCTCCACTTTATATGGGACGCCGCCACTGCATGGCTTGACAAGTGGTGTGTCAGTGCGTGCCCAGGAACCGAACCCGTGAACCCCAGGCCGCTGCAGTGGAGTGCGCGCACTTAACCACCTGTGCCACCAGGCAGGCCCCCAATGACTATCTCTTAAATGAACTGATTTATAAATAAATACTCTGAACTATAGCCACGGTACAATTTACTAGGGCATTTTGACACATGTCAAGAATCTCCTTATAAGCCTTCATGACTAAATTCTTCTCCTTTTCCTCTTTCTGCTAACTCTTAATCTATTACCTTACACTTTAAACATTGTATTTTTTATAATGTTACTCAATCATTAATCTTAACTTCTATATTTTAAATAAATTATTAAATTAGCTTTAACTTCTTGTCAATTTTAAATTAATTTGTTTTTTTCCATATGGTTATTTTCTTATATTTTCATATGCCACAGTATATGGGATTTTAACTTTTTATTGTATTTATTTCCTCCTTTAATTTGTTTTCTTGCAAAAAGCAAAACCTATTAGTTTGTTGAACATTCCAACAATGATCATCTACCAGAGATTTGCTTTACTGATTGCAGTTCAGGATTTCTTAGATGAATTAATTAAATTCATTCAATACTATTTTTAAGTGCCTGCTGTGTGCTGAGCTAATGTTTTATTTAACTGTAGAGGCCACTGTTTTGTCCTTTACAACCTCAGGGAAAAGTCCATCAGGATCTCATGTGGGAGTTTTATGGACCTTTGTCTCTGTGGGTAGTGGTCAATTATAATCTAAGTTGCTGCAATTCTTAAAAGTCTAACAGTTAAAAGACGTTAGGCTCAGGTGATTTTACCGTTGATTTTTATCTAACTGTTAAAAGACAAATACTTTTTACATTCAAGTATTTAAAACATAAAAATTATATGTGGTGACTTTAAAATATGTCCACAAATTCTTTTGCTATCCTTACCTCAAAAGATGGAGCCTAATTCCCCTTCTGAAATATGCCAGATTTAAATGATTTGCTTCTAATGAATAGAAAGTGGTAGAAGTGTCAGTGTGTGACGTTCAAAACTAGGTCATAAAAGACATTGTGGCTTATTTCTCCTGCTCTGTCTCTGATTTCTCTTTCTAGGGAATGACGGTTACCATGTTTTGAAGACAGTCAATCAGCCTTCCAGAGAGGTCTATGCAGCAATGAACCGAGGTCTTCCTGCCAACAGCCAACAGGAGCTTGTCTGGCATGGGAGTGAGCCGTCTTGGAAGAGAATCCTCCAGCTACAGTCAAGCCTTCAGATGCCTGCAGCCTATGCTTACATCTTGACTGTAGTCTCATGAGAGAACTTGAGCCATAACCATCTAGCTAAGTCCCTTCTGGATTCCTGATCCACAGATACTAAATGAGATAATAAATGTTCACTGATTTGAGCTGCTCAGTTTGGGAATAATTTGTTATACAGCAATAGATAATTAATAGAGGAGAGCCCCACAATTAAGTTTTTGAAGGTAGCATAATCTTAATGACAAAATCTGATAAAGGTACACCCAAAAAAGAAAATTATGGAATGATTTTATGTATGATTAGAAATGGAAAAAAATCCACATAAAATATTAAAATTTATCCAGCCATTGTTTATGATAATAATACAACATGACCAAAGAAGTTTTGGACTAGGAATGCAAGAATGGATCCACATTAGGAAATCTACCTGTACTTCACTGCAATAGGTTAAAAGATAAAAAGCACATGATTTCATCAGATGCCAAAAATTCATAAATCATTCTTGGTAAAAACTCTTAAAATAGAATTAGAAGGAAATTACATCAACACAATAAAGACTACCCCACGCACATACACACACACAAGCAAGCATTGTTATAAATCATGAACTACCAAATCCATGTCCATCAACATGAGGAAAAAGATGGTGATGCCTGCTAGCATGTCTAATATGGGATAGTTTATGATTTTAGCTAACACAATAACATGATAAAAGCAATTAACAGAAACAGTTATTGGAAAGAATGTCAAACATTTTTATTTGCTAGTGATAGTATTATATGCAATGAAAATCAAGATGCCATTAAATATTGATTCGAATTAACAGAATTTGGTAATTAACTAGGTACAAAATGCACATAAATAATCAATTACTCAATTATCCTGCCCCTCCACAGAACTGCAAACAGTGCTTCTTCAGTCTGACGCCGCCATCTGTCAATACAGATTAGAAGGCAAAACCCTGTAAAAATCAGCATTTCATGTTGTAAGAATTTATAGGGCTTAGTTCAGTGTCACACAGTGACCCCCCCTTTTTTGTTGTATCATTTTTCACTCTATTGAATTTATTTTTAATTATGAGTAATCCATCAATTCTAAAAAATTCTCTGCCATGATCTTTTAAATCTCACTTCTGCATCATTCTCTCTGGTTGCACTTCCAGTACTAGGAGCAGATGCATGTCAGACAATTTCACTACTAATTCCAGATCTCTTACACTCCCTTTTACATTTTCTATCTGCATTTTGGATAATTCCTTAAGATCTGGTTATATAGTTCATTAAAATTCTTCAGCTGGGTCCAATTGGCTAATAAAACCCATCTAGTAAGCTTTTAATTTTAATTCTGTTATAATTAATTGTATAAATATATGTATATCTATACATTTATTTCTAGAATTTCTATTTGGTTCTTTTATCAAATCTGTGTGGTCCTACTTTGTATTCTTAGTCCCTTAACATATTTCAAAGTTTTTTTTTTTTTTTTTTTTAAGATATTAAAGTTAGTCACAAATCTGTATCTGTTCATTGCCTCTTTTTACTCTTTTTGTGTCTGTTGTCTGCTACTCTTGTTATTCTTGGTCATGGTGTCTTGTTTCACGGTATGTTTGGTTAATTTTGCTTGTGAAGCTGCTCATTCATTTTCTTTGATATTTTATCTGCCGGGATTTATTGAGACCTAAAATGAAGCTTATTCCTCCAGAGAGGATTTGTATTTGCTTTTACCAGGTGCTCAGGGGCACAAACCCAGCTTGGAACATCCCTAAGTTAAATTCTCAGCCTAGAATCTCTGTGATATTAATGCCAGGCACAAGTCAAATGTGAAGGCTGGCTTGTAGTACACAGTTCTCAGTGGCGGAATCTTCCCTGCTCAGCACCTAGGTGCAGGGCAGGCTCTTTGCAATCATCTGTGGTGAGTGTGTGTGTGTCTATTTCTAGTTCATCCTTCTACCCTAAGGACATGGCTTTTGATCTGGTCTCTCAGCTTCACAGGGAAAGATTTCTTATAAGCCTCCCTACCATGGACAGGCTTCACATAACACCCTAAAAACCAAAGCTCAGGTTTGGGTGAAAGGCAGTTGTGGCCCTTGGGGTTTCACACAGGCCAAGCCCCTGGGCCTGAGAGTTCCTTACTTTCTTAGTGGCTCTTCCTTGCTTTTAAGAATTTAAAAAAATATTATTCTAGATTTTAATTGTCCATTCAGGTACCCAGCTTGCCATATTGTGGAAAATCTATCCTCATAATCTATGAATCTGTGTTTGTTTGGGAAATCGTGAGGAGACTAGAATTTCTAAATTCATTCCTCCCTCACCAAATACCATCCACATAAATTCTCTATCTCAACCAGCACTTCACTCCCAGCCCAGCCTCATCTACCTTGCAATTTTTTTAGTCAACTCTGAACCGTTGATTCCTTTCCTCATGGCCACTCCCTCCCAGCTTCCAGCCCCTTTTCAGAGATTTATTTTCTCCACAATAATCCGTTCCCCAGAAGCGAAAATCTTAAGCCATTCTTCCAGAAGGGGCTTCCCTTCCCTTTCTACCTCCCCTCCATGCTTGACACTCGGGGACACCCGGGAAAGGGTATAGGGTACTGAAAAGGGGGCCTCAGTCCTGAGATAACTACTGCCTACCTAATCAGCCATCTTAACGGACTGAGTATTGGGCTTCTCTTTTGTGACCCAGAGGACAATACAGCTGAATACTGCCAAAAGGCTGTAAATTAAATAGGACTTTCTGGGAAAAAAGATGTAGTAACTGAGAGGATTTGAAGGCGTCTCAAAAGCGGCTTCCCTTTCCTCTCCCTCGGTGCCTTCAGGACACAGCATAAGCTCCTCCTCTACCTCCCCCACTCGCTGTTCAGAGCCTCAAGCAAAAATTAGACCAATTGCAAAGCAAGCAAACCAGAAAAACCTCAGTAGTGTTTCCGTGAAAACTCATTGTCTTCAGTCTTTTTTCAGTAATATACATCTGTATGTTAAGAAAGAAAGAAGAAAAGAAATTCTGAGCAGAACAAAGTTATCAGAAAATGCTCTTTCGTGCTCTGGATGAGCAGTCATCGCCAAGTCCCGGATCAACATCAGGATCAGCTTGGAGACCTACACACGGAAACGAAAGCTGTACACTTGAAATGGCATTTCCAGTTCAAATTACTTATCTAGTTATGCGACAGTAAATGATGAATAGCTTTATGGAATTCTATTTGCCCATAATGAGCGCGCAACTTACATGTTTTGTTATTGTCTAGGTACCCTACAAGTATTTCCTACGCAGCTGTAATACAGCATTCAAGAATGGTAGCATAGCTTTAAATTTGGTATGAGAAATCCGAGAATAGCCTTTGGAATAAAAGGATTACAACTCACTTGTTGAAAGCATGCGTGGCTCTTAAAAGAGCCTTTGGGGTTAGATGTAAAGACGCTTACTTGACAAGTTTACTTGGAGCTGGTGTACTTGGTGACGGCCTTGGTGCCCTCGGACACGGCGTGCTTGGCCAGCTCCCCGGGCAGCAGCAGGCGCACGGCCGTCTGGATCTCCCTGGACGTGATGGTCGAGCGCTTGTTGTAATGCGCTAGGCGCGACGCCTCGCCCGCGATGCGCTCGAAGATGTCGTTGACGAACGAGTTCATGATGCCCATGGCCTTGGACGAGATGCCGGTGTCGGGGTGGACCTGCTTCAGCACCTTGTACACGTACACGGAGTAGCTCTCCTTGCGGCTGCGCTTGCGCTTCTTGCCATCATTCTTCTGCGCCTTGGTCACCGCCTTCTTGGAGCCCTTCTTCGGGGCTGGAGCAGACTTGGTAGGTTCAGGCATTGCAGCGTTAAAAAATCACGACACTATCGCTAACACCTGGGAAAATAGTCACCCCCAGCGAGGCCACATTTATTTATAGATGCGGTATTCAAATTAGGTTAGTAAGATTTCGCTCATGATTGGATTAATTTTAGTGTCGTCACAAATACGAATGTAAATGATAGTTGCACGTCTACCTTTTCATTGGCTATTTGGTCACTTTGCTTCGACCCAATCAGAAGGCCTATACTAGTCTACCCAAAGCTACTATAAATGGCCTCTTCAAGCAACGGGGCTGCACATCTCGGAGAAGAGACGGAACTTTTATTTCGAAGAGGCCAGTTTTAGGTTTGTGAGTGGAAGCAACTCCGTGCTCGCCATAATAACTTTGTGCATTGGGTCCCGGCCCCACACCAGTGGACACCTAGTGGCTGTGCTGATGTCCTAGCTGCTAGAGCTGGTGGGCCAGCGGTTGTTGAGTAGCTCATTTTCCCCGCAGCAGCTAACCAAATCCCAACCACTAGAAGCTCAGCAATAACGCTGGGCTGCGTGACCCTTTCAAGTTTGCATTCCCTTATCTCTTTCTCTACCAAAAACTCTGCGAACTTGTTTTACCATAAACCATTATGGTTAAAATACTCAGAACGTCTTCACCCAAATCTGCCAATTTTGCCTTTTGGTTTGTTCTGAACACAAGTGTCCCATACAACTGTAAATCTTGAACGCAATGGGTAAATACTGAGTACATCTGATAATTTTGGGTGAAACATTAAAATCTCCTAACACCTACATAACATAGGTCCTGCAACAACACTTGAAATCACTTTCGCCCCCAAATCTGTGCTCTTCCATATGGCACCCTAGGTGGGAGTCAGGGATGGGTATTACGAGCTACCTATTTACAACCGGCGTACTCCTAAATGGTTGCAGAACTTTCTCTCTGCGCTCTGGAGACAGAATGGACAGGTACCCAAACCCGGCATCCCTGTCCCGCTCAGGCCTCAGTCAGCAGTTCTCCAAGGACACAGGCGTGTTCAGCCGGAGGACGGTAGTACTCATTACTGCAACCCATCCCCCATCCCCCATCCCTGGGGGCCCGCCCCGCGCTTCAGGCCTTACAGCCACGCCCCCTTAAAATGTGCCATAGCTCTTTTTATGATACCTGTGGGTGGCTCTGAAAAGAGCCTTTGGGTTGTGTTGAGCTCATAAGCAGTTGGCCAAAGAAACTTCTTACTTTTTCTTGGCTGCCGCCTTCTTTGGCTTGGCTGCCTTCGGTTTGGCGGTCTTTGGTTTAGCCGCCTTGGGTTTCACCGCTTTGGCCTTCGCTGGGCTTTTGGGCGCCTTCTTGGGCCTGGCTGCTTTAGCCTTTTTGGGGCTCTTTGCTTTTTTGGCTCCCGCAGCCGCAGCAGGTTTCTTGGCCTTCTTTGGGGTCTTTTTAGCGCTCTTCTTTGGGGTGGCCGCCCCCGTGGTCTTCTTGGGCTTCTTAGCCGCTCCCGCAGGCTTCTTGGGCTTGGCCGCGCCCGCCTTCTTGGCCTTGGGCTTGGCTTCGCCAGTGGCTGCCTTCTTGTTGAGCTTGAAAGAACCCGACGCACCAGTGCCCTTGGTCTGCACCAGAGTGCCCTTGCTCACCAGGCTCTTCAAACCCAACTTGATGCGACTGTTGTTCTTCTCCACGTCGTAACCAGCGGCCGCCAGCGCCTTCTTGAGCGCAGCCAAGGACACGCCACTGCGCTCTTTAGAGGCAGCGACAGCCTTGGTGATGAGCTCGGACACTGGGGGTCCCGACGCTTTGCGCTTCCCGGCACCTGCGGCCTTGCGGGCTTTTTTCTTCACTGGCGTTTTTTCGGCAGGGGCCGGAGCAGCGGGCGCGGCGGGCGCAGTCTCAGACATATTGAAGGCGGGTTTGGAGAGAGCAATTCGAGCCGGAAGCAGAGGCACTGGCCGGGACTCGGGCCGCGCCGCTGCGCCCGCCCGTTTATATAGGGCGGAGCTGCGCCGTGATTGGTGCGCTGTCCAGCCCGCCTAGCTGGCAGCCGCAGAGTGTCCTCTCGGATCCCGAGTTGTGTTTGTTACACCTCAAAAAATGTCAAAAATATCAAAATTCTCTACACCGAATTGCCTGATTTTTCTCAAAAAATGATCCCCGAAGCCTCAGGCTTCACGCAGGTCTCAAATTATGAGGAAAGCACAAAACCTTATGCCAAAAACCAGCAATATTTCTCGCCGTGCTCGCCAAATTTCAACTGAGAGAAACAAAACTTTCTATTTTCTTCGCAAATTATAAATCGACCTTTAACTGTGGAGTTTTCTGACCTCTCAAATATGATTCTCCAAGTTGTTAGCTTCTTATATGTCCAAAAACCATGCCACTGGCATTAAGATTTTTATTACAAATCTGCGCTTAAGTGAGGGAAGTAACACAGGCTCCTCGGAGAGTCCTGCCTATTGAGCCGAGGGCATTTGAGTTCATCAAACTGGTTTAGTTTAATGCCAAACAAATTATTGCCCATGTGGGGTTAAATTTTAGACCCCTGGGACATCAGCCTATACAGCCATGGTTTGTTTCTGTCTGCTGCATCTGGGATTTTTAACAATTCCTTAGGATAATTCTTTTCCTTTCTGCTCCCAAGGGTTGGGGGCGGGGCTGTTGCTTCTCTTCCTCTGGACAACTGCTTCATGAGTTTAGATAACTTGAATTCAGGATATTTGGGAAGGAAGGGGAGTCCAACACATAGGGTACAAGATGGAAAAAGATTAATTTTCAAATAACACGCAGATGATGTCCATAAAGTCACTGGAAGTGGAGGTGCTCTTTGAAGAATTTGTCTGCAGTCTTGCTGAATTCTTTCGATATGTGCTTCAGGATCAGATTGTAATATACTAGCTAGAATTGAAATTCAAGCATCGATAGTAAAGGGAAATAAATGAGAAGTGTAGATTATAACATACCTATTTCCATTACTAGAGAACCCCAGACCCTGTTATTGCTGAATAGCTGATGAATGACTAGTCTACACACCAAATATGGCTTCAGTCATGAAGATTATGGCTCTATGCTTCCCGGAGCTCCATAAAAAAGAAAATGAATTACATGTATGATTGAATGACAAGTTCAAATTTCTATCTCAGAAGCAGAGCTTTGATGGACTATCCAAGTTAAGTTATTGCCCTCTGAAGACATCCTTTGCAAGGTCTCTGAACTAATGGGTTTGTTTAGGCAGTTACCCAATCAACAAAGAGTACATCTTGGCAATGCAAACCCAACTAAAAGAACTATTCCTGGAAAATGGTCTGGATAGAATTGTCTTAAAAACTGCAAGTCATGTACTTGACAGACAAAATAAAATTTTGGTCAGTGCTATAAGGTGATATGATACTATTCTGCAGGTGTGGCTGGTTGTAACATAGCATTGAACATCACATCAATTTTTAGTTCCATTGCTCCAAATCTTCTCTACACTCAACAGACCGACCCTACTACTACTGAAATAAAAGAGAATACAGATCTTTGATACATGGTGCAATGTTTCAAAATAGTCTTATTTAAATTAATGTTGAATCCAGTATAAAAGTGATGTAGATTATCAATATATTTTAAGCCTTATGCTAGTGAAAAATAAATGTGCCCTTTGGTATAGTTTAAAATAAAAAGGGAGGGGATAAGGTTCCAAAACCAACCAATTGATAGTTACTAGGGAAACCGATTTTACGGGCAATTGATCCCAGAACAGTGGGGTTATACTCACTTTCAGTAACAAACAAAACCACTCCCACAGCTAGCTGAAATTTGCACAACACATTGAAGTTTTCTCTCAAATGCCTTACTCTATTATATGTGTTCCTTACTACTTCCGACTTGGAGGGACGTAAACTCTCCAAATCCTGTGATCTTTCAACTCACCTATGTTCATCTCCCATGGTACAGTGTGTTTTCTTATAAATGTGACAAATTTGAAGATATTGAGGATCTGCCACTGTTAAATCAAGCATTTATTTGAAATAAGAGTAACACCAAAGGACTCCATTTTCCTGTTGATCTGTCAGCTATATCAGAACTGTGTGTGTGTGTGTGTTGTGCACGTGTTTTAAATATAGATTCCAAAGTCTTGTTCTAGATGCTTCTGAACCAACGACTTCAGTGGGTCTCAGAACCTGAATATTTCACAACTTCTTCAGATTCTCCTGATGCCCAGCCAAGTGTGGGAACCACTGCCACTCTCACTGGAGGTGATTGACAGGTCAAAAGTGTTTCCTGTGATCTGAGTGTTCCTGTGGATTTCTGGACTTGCCTTCAAGATCTTCGAAAAGAAGTCCGTGCTGGATATGACCACAGGTTGGGAGGATGGGGGCAGCAGGAATCCAATCCTGACTTCCTTGGATTAACACCTGACTGGGCACTAGAGTGGGTTCGAGAAAGAGAAGGGAGAGTAACGATAAAGGATCTTCTGCTTCATTATTTTCCATCCACAGAGGGTGGTCTGGACTGGTTGCCTGTGGACTACCAGAATTCCCTAGTACAGCATCTCCACTTCTTGTCCCATTTTATCATTCTTAATAAAAGTTACCCTTTCCATTTATTGACTACTGTACTGTGTGCTACCTGCATTCTTAGTCAATGCAACAATCCGCGCTATAGATAGCACCCCCATTTTACATAGGAGGAAATGGGCTTTCACAGGTTGAGAAATTCTCCTGAGAAGACTGCTGGTAAGAGGTGCATCCTGGGTTCCAGCTCACATCTGTCTGATTTCAAAGCATGTGCTCTTAAAAACAGTGTTTTTCATACTACAGGTCTGAATGATCATTAAAGGTGGTGAAATCAATATAGTAGCACAAGGCTAAAATGTTTCTTTGTTAACAAACTAGAATAGAATATAAAATACCAGAGCTCAATGCATGTAGTTTCAGTTATCTACACAGCTCCTTGACTGTGTGCTGGATGCCCCGGTGTAAAATGTATTTCTCTCTGTACAGGCTAATGTAGCCAGAGTGGAGGAGTCTTCCTCATGCAATTTCTTGAACTTTTGTAGTTATAAAATATTCTCAAGTTTATTAATCTCTAATGAGCTAAAAAAATAATTTCCTATTTTTGACTTTTTTTTTAAGCCTCTATAGAACTCCGACTGATGGAAAGTAGGGAGCACTCTGTAAACATTTCTATTTTGGACCTGATAGCAACTAAGCTAAGAGGAACAATGTGATTTGCAGAAAAACTGAAAGAAAAGAGAGGCTTGTACTTGGTTCCTTCTACTCCACAACTCTGGGCTCCAAGCACTTGATTCTGGACTTTGCTATTTTAATATGTTACCCTGATAGTTTTATTGAAGACAGAGCTTGGGGAAAAGGTGTTTTTTGCTAGACAAATTAGCACCTCCCCAGCTCCCTCATAGGAGGTGTGCTATATAAGCACAGACATAGCGACACTCTGAAGACGACCTGCAGAACTCTATATGTTGAGACAAACTTCCCTTTGTGGACTCTTAATAGGTACTGTATCTTGGCTTTTGATGTAGAGCATTTCTGGAAAACTTTTCTTAAAAAGGGCCATATATTTTCTTAGAAATTGTTATTTCTTTTGTTTAATTTTACAATGAACACTGTGGGTTGCATAGCCCAGGTTATTCATTGTAGCGTTGTTTGGAACTGTAAAATATTGGAAAGCATTTTAATATCCACATGTAAGAGAGGGGTTGAATAAACTAGGGCACATATGCATAGTTGAGTAATATCAGCTACAACAATGAATGAAGAAGATCTCTATGAACTAATCAGGAGCAAACCCAGGGATATAGGATTAAGTTAAAAAGCCAAGTGCAAAAGACTATCCATAGTATGATATCCTCCATAAGCGAAAGAAGAGGATATAAGAAAACACATTTTTCTGCTCATTTGTGCAAAAGATATACTGGAAGGATAAACCAAAAATGAACGAGATTGGTTATCCATGGGGGGTAGGTTAGAAAGGAATGGAAAGAAGGCAGGAATGGGAGCAGAGTAGCAGGGATGAGGAGGGAGTGACAGTTTCCTGAGTCTGTCTTTTTGTATAACTCTGACTCTTACAACTCCAGTAATGTTTCACATACTAGCAAAATAAACTATTAAAAGCAATACTTATCGGGGGCTGGTCCAGTGGCGAAGTGGTTAAGTTCTTGTTCTCCACTTCTGCAGCCCAGGGTTCGAGGGTTCAGATCCTTGGCGCAGAGATACACACCACACATCAAGCCATGCTGCGGTGGCATCCCACATACAAAATAGAGGAAGACTATCACAGGTGTTAGCTCAGGGACAATCTTCCTCAAGCAAAAAGAAAAGAGCGATAGGGATGGGAACATATACCCAAAACGGAATACAATCACTAATAAATTAACCAAACTGTATTAAATTAACAACAATGACACCGAAGGGATTGAAGAAGATAAAAATTAACTTAAGTAACTGTGGAAGATAGTATCTTGATTGGATACTGTAAGGCTAAAGGCAAAGTAACTATATATAAAGGCCATAATCTAATAAAAATATTTCTCTCTGGGATATAGATTAATAATTCTGAAACTACTTATGTGTCTACTAGAATTGAACAAAGAAGTAAATATGTTGCAGAAAGTGAGATCCAGTGTTCTCACTGGTGGAAAAAGAAGTATTTGGCTAAAATGAACCTTGTGGTGCTAGATTAGAATCAGAAGTATTAACATAAGCTCATATTGTAAAATATATCTACAATTATATAGATACAGAAACAAAGATGTGTGTGTGTATGTGTGGGTTAATTACACATATATTTCTTTTTTTTTTTTTTTTGTGAGGAAGATCAAACATGAGCTAACATCCATGCTAACCCTCCTCTTTTTGCTGAGGAAGACCAACTCTGAGCTAACATCTATTGCCAATCCTCCTCCTTTTTCCTTTCCCCCAAAGCCCCAGTAGATAGTTGTATGTCATAGTTGAACA